ATTTTATATTCAATAAGATTATAAAAAATTATATTACCAAAAATCCCAAAACATAATTCACACATATATCGTATACAAAAAAGCGTGCAGGTAACTTAGTAATTTAATGTTAAACGCGGACGGCTAGTAACATATTAAAATGATATTTATTCAAATTGTAATGGTTATATTTTTTATTTGATTATTATATAGACTTAATATTACTCCAGTTAACTAAAACTATCAATATTAGAACTTTAATTCCATGTTAAAGTATAGCCATAGATTTAAGCTGGGATTCCATGGGCACAATGTGCACTGCACATTATGCAACTTTTTAACAGTACAGAGAGAGGGTTAATTTGAATAAATAGATGTAGACGGTTTAAATTCAATTAATTCAAATATAATTAAATATTGAAGCAAACCTGATATATTGAAGATTAATGTCAGTTAAAACAATATGGTATAATATATTATAACAAATTATAATAATAAAACAGGCGAATGGCCACAAACACCGAAGATATGACCATAGGTTTAACCATTTGCATACGCCTTATAATAATATAATTTTACTGAATGGCATTACTCATTTAAAAATACCATTTTCAATGCATTAAGCCATATGCAACTGGTTATAAATATGACCATAATACGGCGTTTGTGACAATTCGCATGTTTATGAATCTCCATACAATACTAGATATAATAGTATCAACCACGACTGGATCAGCTAGGTGATATTCGCATGCTTTCCTACTGATCAATAATTTGATACCATTTTGTCTATCGATGGTTAATATTGAATGATATGATAAACAAAATACTGATTACACAATCAGTATAACTGGTGTGGCAAACATGGTGTCCAACGGATGCCATCAAACCACACATTCAAACCGTTAATAATTGATATTTTTGGCAACAATTCAATGCTATTATTAAGACAATGTCGTTATATACAGGAAAACAGTTAGTTTTGTCAATTACAAGGTTAACAAATGAGCTGGGTTGAATTTTCAAATATGCCAATCATATTTGAATCATACTAAATCTGAATCTCTATTTGTTTGTGCCATTGGCACAGAAAAATTATTTAAGACTTAAACCTGAGTTTTGATTACATTCACTAGAAATTTATTAAAAATTATGATAAATATGTTATTAATTAAATCTATAGAAAGCCTATAATTTTAAGGATTGGTGTCGTTATTATGTCATCCAAATAATGTCAAAGCATTGTATTATTTATTGGTTTTTCAATCAATTTGTCAATTACAAGGTTAACAAATGAGCTGGGTTGAATTTTCAAATATGCCAATCATATTTGAATCATACTAAATCTGAATCTCTATTTGTTTGTGCCATTGGCACAGAAAAATTATTTAAGACTTATTTATTACTCACAATCAAATTAATAAACTAGTGATAAATATATGAATATATTTCATGATTCATGAATACAGGGTTTGGTTGTTAAAGAGTAACACAAAACACATGATAATTGCCATACATTTCAGAACTGATTTATAAATAGTTTTCAAAAGTGTTGAATCAAAACACATAACACTTGTACGGCATAAATAAATAGATAGGAACAAGGTCAAGTATTCCCACTATTTATGCAATGCATGATATAACTCACATAATACATCTAATACAGTACATGCGTGTACATTTACAATGAATATATATTAATTAAATGTTTGCATTTTATAAAATTAACTTGTTACAATTATGAATAAACGATATTAATGCAAGATTAAATATTATTTTATATTGAATATAGTGTTGGCATTGAATTTATAAATTGTATTTAAAATAGTTATTGTATTAAATAGTTTGTCAAAAGTTTTGTTCGACTTATAATTAGTGTTGAAAATAGTGTCCAAAAGAGGGCGACATTTCACTGCTTTTCTCCGTAAGTAACGCTAATATTAGTGTACAAAATGCGCAAAATAACAAACCGAAAACAACACTTTTTACTAACGTTTATTTGTAAAGTAAGTAAACAATAAATTAAAAATGTTTTAATTATTATTAATATTTTGTGTGTTTTATATAATTGTATGAAATCTCCATTGATTGTAATCACATTACAAATTAATATTATATTTTGTATTAATATTTATATGTAAATTCACTTCAAAAGTAAGTATTATTTAATGAATTAATTTGTATTTTATCTCAATTTCTAATTAATATTAATATTATTTATATTTTTATTATAGATTTATAGGAATTGAAAGCAAACTATTGTCTCATAAGAAGTGGAAGAATAACCACAAGAAGTGATTGAGTGTTGAATACAAACAACAATTGAATGAATAATAATGAATGAAATGAAGAGAAGAAGAGTTGGTCTCAGAAGTGATGCAAACAGAAGACAATCAATGGACAGATTCGGTGATGATTTGTGTCAACTATTGTTGTCTTATTTGCCGATCAAAGAGCGGTTCCGATACGAAGAGGTGTCCAAACAGTGGCAGAGAGTTATATATGAGACACAA